GCTGAGTTTGTAGGTTTCAAGATGATAAATGTTTATATTCATCCTTAGATTATATGTGTCAGTAGAGTAGAAGCCAATTTCCCCTCTTGTAGATAATCACTTTTTTTAAAAAAGTTTATTTTCAGAAAGAGAGAGAATGAGTGGAGGAAGCAGAGAGAGAGAGAGAGAGAGAGAGAGAGAGAGAGAGAGAGAATCCCCAGCAGCCCCATGCTGAGAGTGCAGAGCCTGATATGGGGCTCCAAGTCATGAACCGAGAGATCATGACTTGAGCCAAAATCAAGAATTGGACACTTACCCAACTGAGCCACCCAGGTGTCCCGATAATCACTTTTAAAAATCTCTTTGTGTTTGTTAAAGTCATCCTAACAACTTATAAGAGAAAAACGTAGCCACATTATCCACAAAAAGTCAACTATGTCACTTTGTTATTTTGGTAGATTACATGCCATTTCCTTCATGCTTTCTGAAAAGTAAAGGCACACTGCAAATCAGGATCTATTTTCTCTTACCAAATATCAACAACATTGTGAGCTTAGTGCTTCTAGAACCCCCGCTTTCATAAGCAATTAGACCCTCTTGTATTTAATGGCTTTAGCTTTCTGGCTGTGGCTGCTTTTTCTCCTGTTTTATATCTATTTTGATACCAAGCCAAGTCAAGTCCTTTGGGAATGCCACCAGTATAAAAGGGAAGTCTTCATAAGTCCCAGGAATATAAATTGAATAAGTCAATAGTTATCACTTTTTAATTACAACTGTAATTATAAGAGCACAACCAGAATATTGCAGGTTTTTTTTTTTTTTTACCTGAATACCCAGGATTTGTGGTCTCACTGCTTTGAAGAATAAAGAGGTGGATGCATAATATAATGAGCAGTAGGCAAAAGTTTATTAGAGTATAAGATCAGGGTATGAAAGCTCTCTTTACTGAGGGGGGAACCTCTGAAAGTGAATGCTCCTGGCAATAGGCAAGGGTCTTTGTTTTCCAAGGTTCTGGTCAGCACCCCAACCCTTCCCCCTTGTTCCTTCACAGGTCCTACCCTTATTGGCTTGATAGCTCTGGGTGCTGAGTTGTCCATTCCTGATGGGCTCGATTCCATTATATGAGGGGTGGTCTACGGCCATACCTTCCCTGTAGGTCATACTTTAATGGTCTACTAGTTATTTTTAGTTAGGTCTTTTTTTCAAATTCCTGAGAGGAACCTGAGGGTGAGAAGTGGTGTCTGTTACATTCTTAAGATGAACCTTACCCCTGAGGGGGTTTGCTGTGGTCAGACACTCCCAGCATTGTTCCAAAATAGGTGTTTTTCCCCACTCAGGAACCTCAGGTCCTATCCTTTCCCTCTCTGCCTACTGAATCCTATCTTTCCCCATAATAATACTAGATCTTGAATGTTCACTTTGAATATTCTCTCTTCTTACTTATTCCTGTTTACAGCTTCATATTCTCAAGGAGCAAAGAATGAAGTTTATTGAATTGTTCGTGACACCACATTTACTCTAAATAAAAGTCCAGTATAGTGTTGAGATCTGAGAAGTGAAGGACTGGAACAGTCTCCAGATTTAGAGACACCAGTCACAGTCTGCCAATTGATTTGTCTTTCCTTCCCTTTAATTTTTTCCCCCATAGTTGAGGTAATTTCTTCTGTGTTTAGCAAAAAGCAAGACTCCTATGTAGCAAATGGTTTTGTATTTAATATAGAGAATGTCATGTTAAAGTATGGAGAGAACCAATTCCTTTTTCTTTCCGGAATACGAACTATATGTCATTTAGCCATTGTGTATTTCTTGAGACTCTACATATGTAATTTATGGCTATAAAAATGGCTTTCTTCATCTAGTTACTTCCTAAAACGTCCTGTGTCTTAACTCACTCCCTACTTCTTGTTTTTGTCTCTTCTGAGATTTAAACATCTCCCATTGGAATAGTTGCCAATCTAGATCTGGATATCTGGTTAAGATTCCGTATTTTTCATGAGTGAAAAGGTGACAGACCTGTGTGTGGGAGATGGGTGAAGTGTTCTTTGAAAGAAGGGCAGAAAAGGCAGAAGAAACAGGTTCTGTGCAGAAACTTAAATGACCAAAGGCTGCAGTCAATCTTTATGAGTCTAAGAACGAGAAGACTTAAACCACTAGATTTCAGTAGATTCCAGATGACATTCCAAATCTCTCACACCAGTTATTCCATTTCTTCTTCACAGCAAAGCCGTGCAAACTTAAAATGTTTAATAAACTGCCCAAATCACTCCGCCAGTCAAGTTGGTGAACTGGGATCAAAACTGACGTCATCGGATTCTAGAACGATTGCTTTTTATTGCATGCAACTCATTTCTAGAAGTTATTCGGCATAAGAAAATGTTGAGTAAAGTCCCAGCTTACTTGTTTTGTTATTATATGAAACAGGGTATGGGCTTGAAAGGATGAACAGAACAGGTGTCACATTGCAGTCACCACGCTAAGATAGATGGCTGGGATAGTGTGCGCCACTTAGCAGGTGCTCACATTGTCGGATACATGAATGATGCCTTGTGTGACTGGTTGATCCTATAGTATGGCTTCTACCTGTGCTCTTTAAGCTTTTGTAACTACGATTATCTGTTTTATACCTAAGGCTACACTCACAAACAAAGCAAGTGCGCGGTATTCAGTGTTCATGTCATTAAACTTTTAATAAGAGAGAGAGAAAAAGAACCCTTTTAGAAGCAACGTAATTCATTGAAAACAATGCGAGTGACACATGCAATTGTCATTTTTCTATTCTGAGAGGAGAATTGGACTCCAGCTATGCCAGCCACACAGCTGGGGGATGAACACATGGAGATACTCAGTTCACAGTGTGGCTGCTCCTCACACACTAAAATCCAAATAAGTCCTTGAAACTTGCAGTGGGGTGTTAAATATGGTGCATCATAAAATTGAATTCCCAGAAGCCAAATGGCAATATATCATCAGTACATGCTGGTAACTGTGAAAACAACAGTGGTTATGCAATAATAAATGTATAATTGTTTGAGTTCTTACAATCTGCTTGCATTATGTTAAACAGGTATGGTCTACTATCGAATCCAATTTTTCTTTTCCCTGATTTGGTCACGGTTAAGGTCATTTACACTATTGGAGAGAGAATGTGATGAATAAGGACTATTTAAATTTAACCCTTTTATCTTATCTTAGGTGCTCAGTTTATCCTCTGAGCCATAGGTAGTGGAGAGCTAGGGAGGTGGAGAATGGAGAATGGGTATGACTTAACCCTTGGTCAGTATTTAAAGCCTGAGGAGATTAAATTGATAGTCATATTTCCGCTTCAATTAAAAACACTTTTTAGGGGCACCAGGGTGGCTCAGTCCGTTAAGCATCTGACTTCAGCTCAGGAGGTGATCTCATGGTCCGTGGGTTTGAGTCCCACGTCAGGCTGTATGCTAACGGCTCAGATCCTAGAGCCTGCTTTGGATCCTGTGTCTCCCTCTCTCTCTGCCCCTCCCCCACTCATGTTCTATCTCTCTGTCTCTCTCAAAAATAAATAAACACCAAAAAAATTCTTTCTAAGGTACTTTTAGCCATTATGGAATTTGTTTGGATTCAGAATGTTTTTCTGGATTTATTTATTAGCAGGGCTAATGTTTCATATAATTCACAGTCCAAAGAGAAAACGGTAGATGTCAATAAATGTATATAGAACTGTGTATTTTCAGGTTGTAATTTAAGATACTGTTGCCAAGGTCAACTTGAGGATTCAAAGAATCTTAATAAACTCAGAAAAGTCTGCCAGAAATAAATAACTTACCTACAAAATTTTATTATAGTATTTTCAAATGTAGCGATGTAGTAAATTTCTATAAAAATTTGACTATCCAAAAAAGAACCACTTTGTGTAGATATCATATCAAAGTGTAATTGGCTTATCTCTTGGTTCAGGATGCATTCAGCATCTCCCAAATCCAAGGATGCATTATTTATTAAGAACATGCAGAACTACCCCTGAATTAAGTATATTTGTCTTTGGGGCCAACATCATTCACTTCACCAAAGTGACTAGTTTATCACCATTTGAAGAGTGTGAAACACCCATATGAATCATTAAGTTAAACGTTGGCAGTGGACTCTCTTAATAGGGACCCACCTTTTTGAGACTCTGATATCCATGTAACCAGAAGAATTACTCATAGCAAGTGTGCACAATAAATACAGCTACACCCCAAGCTTGCATTTGCTGACCCAGCACGGTCATACCACGAGCCCACAGATTGGTTTAGGGGGAAGTGGTATAGACTAGCCGCTAAACAGTTTAAAGTTAGATTGTGTCCTGGATATGCTGCTTATCTACCTGTCACAGACTATTCACTTCCAGCCTTTTATGGAGTACCTACTCTGAGCCAAACACATGGTAGTCTAGGATTTCAAGATGCCGGAATGATTAACGGTCTGGGCCCTTAAGCAGAGTGACTTAGTTGGGAGAAAAAGATGTGCTCTCCCCACCACCAAAACAAACAAGCAAACAAACGGTATGGAGTCTCTATTATTTTTGCAACTCCCTGAGTCTTTAATTATTTCCAAATAAAAAAGTTAAAAAATAATTGCATGTGTTGCTATGGGACTAGCACTTTGCTGCGTACTGGGGACACAGGGCTAAATGAAGCCGTGATCACTGCCCCAGAGAGCCTAGAGTTGAGTGGGAAAGGCAGGGAAGTGAATGGATAATGCAGGTGCAGTGTGGTAAGTGCTCAGATGGAGGGAGGTTCAGTAGGGGCTGGGGCAACACCAGGAAGAGTCTGACTTAGATCAGGGTTGAGGTCAGGCAGAGCTCCCCTGGAGGAATTGATTAGAAAATTTCTAAAGTGCACGGTACAGAAGGAATTTGGGACCATGTGTGGATTACAAGCTCATGGCGGCATCTGTAGAATTAAACTCTTTCTTAAGACTTTTGTCCCCATTGGGTGGAATCTTCTGGCTGCAGTGCTCAGTGGCCAGGATGCCAGTCATGCTCGTCTGTTCTTTCTCCTCAGTGTCCAACAAGCACCCATTTGTGGACAGCAACCTTCTCTACCAGTTCAGAATGAACTTCCGGCGGAGGCGCAGACTGATGGAGCTGCTCAATGAGAAGTCCCCCTCTTCCCAGGAAACTCACGACAGTCCCTTCTGCCTGAGGAAGCAGAGCCACGACAATCGGAAATCCACCAGTTTTATGTCCGGTATGTCAGTTTCACCATGTAACTGATCACATGCATTTGTCTTTTGAGAAGTATTAGGGTAATAACTCAGCATTGTGAAATTAGTTTCTCCAGCACATTTTTTTTTTAATTTTTTTTTTCAACGTTTATTTATTTTTGGGACAGAGAGAGAAGAGCATGAACGGGGGAGGGGCAGAGAGAGAGGGAGACACAGAATCGGAAACAGGCTCCAGGCTCTGAGCCATCAGCCCAGAGCCCGACGCGGGGCTCGAACTCACGGACCGCGAGATCGTGACCTGGCTGAAGTCGGACACTTAACCGACTGAGCCACCCAGGTGCCCCTCTCCAGCACATTTTTATTTATTCATAACCAAGAAGTATGGGGTGGAGGGCAGGGAAACCCAGCATTACCAAATTGTTCCTGGGCTGTCAACTTAGATGTCATGAAGATCGTTTTATAAAATAAGTATTTACATTATACAAGACCTCTTAACCTCTCATTTTGCCTTACTTGCTTTTCATTGATAAACAGTTCTTATATGTCATTAATTATCCAGTTTTCTAAATCACAGCACTGAAAAACTGTGTGCTTTAATGGTAAATAAAGACTTCTGAGGGCATAGACAAGTCAAAGGCAACTGACTGTCAACCTGTCATGAAGGGGTGACCCAGAACAAAGAAAAATTGTGAAAAGCAAACAGAGGAGCTCGTAAAGCCTCGGACGTTACATGGAAGGTCAAACAGTCCCATATTTACAATGAACCTTGACAGAAATGATGCTGACAGATGTTCACAAAGATAACCCCACTCGTCCGGAAAAGGTTAACTTGATGTGTCATTTGAAGAAGAGGGGTACTTAAAGGGATATCTTCAACTCCTCTGAAAACTTGGCATTGACTCAAGGAACTGGTTGGCCTAAGGTTTGGAAATTCTGGGCTTCACCTGAAACTCGGGGCACAATGAAAATGTGTGTCTTGAAAATGTGGTTATTTGTGGGAGGTGCAAGAGTACTTGTAGCTACATCGAGTCCTTTCTGTGCCCCTGGCACTGGGCTAGGCTTATGTGCCTGAATTTTATTAATTCTCACAACATCCTAAAGAGGAAGGACTTTTCTTATCCCCATTTTATGGGTGGAGAAACTGAGGCTTGGAACAATGGAGGGGCTTACCCAAGGTCACACCATTAGAAAGTGGTGGACAGAGCTGGATCTCACACCGGTTCTGTCTTAACTCTATTTCTGCTCTCTCCTCCCCAATCTCCCTCGCCCTGGAGCTCCTCGGACACAGCCAGGGTGGAAGAAAGAATGAAGCAAGAGGAGAGAGTAAGCACTAGAGGGTCAGGTGTGTGCACACACACATCACGTGTTCCTCAGGGTCGCAGGTCGCAGTCTCCCGCAAATGCCAAGTACCTGTTCACGTTCTTACTAGTTCTAAGGTTTGCCGGTTTCTTGTGGACCCAATAGACCCGAAAAGTGACACTGATGAGAAAGAGGATATAGTGGCCATGGTCACCATAAAAGCCAGTAGTTATTTTGTGCTTTCCATGTTCCAGGCACTAAGCGGGATGCTCTCTACCTACGGCTTCTTTCGTTTGAACACACACCTTCTCCTCTCCCTGTTGAGAGCCACCGGCTCTGTGGCAAAGAGAACCAGATCAGATCACAAAACTGCTGCCTCACATACACTTCCAAAGCCGAAATATGTGTTAATGTGTGTTAATCTCCTTCTTCCACGGCTCTGGGTGATTCATGACTTGCTATTAGATCGGGAGGCATTTATTATTACTGTTAATCCATTAAGTGTATAGCCGGCAGTTAATTTACCCCCTTCCAGGGGCTGCCTAGCATGGATGGGCTCGGTCGTTCTCGAAATAACGTTTTATATGGCTGCGTACTTTCACGTACATTATATAACCCACTCCTTGTACCGATCCTGTTGCATTATACCCACTTCACAGCTGGGGAAATTGAAGCTCAGAGAACTGAGGCGAGTGGCCCCAGGTGATGCTATTAGCGAGTGGAAGGCTGCAAGTCGGATTCTTGCTCCTCTGACTCCGAGGCCAGGGAGCCTTTTTCTGGCACGTGTGACGCGCCTGCTGTGTCTCATGGCTGAAAGCCCGTGTGTCTCATGGCCGCCGCCCTCCTGACTGTGTGTTTCTGGCCCGCACAGTCAGCCCCAGCAAGGAGATCAAGATCGTGTCTGCGGTGCGGAGAAGCAGCATGAGCAGCTGTGGCAGCAGTGGCTACTTTAGCAGCAGCCCCACCCTCAGCAGCAGCCCCCCTGTGCTCTGCAACCCCAAGTCCGGTGAGTGGCCGAAAGGCAGCCCCGTTTGTGGCTGGGGCTGTGGGGCACTTGGGACATGTGCGGGCTGCGTTCCTTGGGAAGCAGATTCTCAGACGGGGGAGGCTAGTGCGTGGGAATCTTGTGACAGCATGCTCGTGGAGCCAAGGCCTGTCGAGAGGAAGGGAAGCACGCAGATTTGGGCAGAGGGAGAATCGGGCTGCAGTGTAGCGTCAGGGAAGGCTGCACTGACCCCAAGGGGAGCTCTGGAGGTGGGATGGCCCTTCACAATTGTCCCAAATTGGGACTCAACTCTGTTAAACCCTCATGTTAACCAGTCATTTGATGTTGGCTGCCCTGGGCGGAGGGCCTGACCGTGGGCAAGGCAGCTCTCTTCAGAGGTCGTTCCAAAGACAGTTGAAGGTATCAGCTGGGAGATGCCCCTCGGTCCTGAAGAGAGTTTGAACAGATGCAGAGGTCTTTGGGGCCTTAGCACCCCCAAGGAAGAAGCACAGATCTGTGCAAAACCCAACTATCCCTGGAAATGACTCTTGGTGCCTTGCAGTTTCAAAATCTACTGATCAAACTGCATGGCCTTTACATTCCAGAAAAAAAAAAATCTAGGTACAAAGATTGTCGATGAGCTTGTGCTTAGACACAATTCCTCCTTGACCCAATCAGTTCTTCAGCCCACGGGAACCTGTAACTCACAGATACGACCACCTTCTCAAAGTCCGTTACCCACCTCTTTCCTAGGATTAGATTGCGTGGTCTCTGATGGTAATAATCACTGCCTTGAAAACCCCCCCGACTCCATTTGTTCAGTGCCCTGTTCACCCTCAGTTCAGTATATCACCTTCAGGGAAGGGAATTCATTCCTTTTGCTCTTGTTCCCTCATCGCCAGATTTGGGGGTACAAAGATGGAAGGTCATGACCGGTTCCCTCAGTGAACGTATCCTCTCTTTGGGGCCAGGGAGCATGTGTTAGAATAAGGACCAATAGATGTTGTTCAAAGGGTTTTAAGAGAAAACTCTGTTAGGCAAGTGGTATTTTACTTAATCTAACGTTTTGCTGCCTTCTGGAGGATTAGCTAAAGAATAGAGTTGTAACCTGCAGCAAATGAATGAAGAAACTTGTTTCCACACTGACTCTGCCTGGAAATCATTGAGCACCCATATGCTACCAGGTTTTCAATTAATGAAACACTGGTGATAAGGCAGAATGAGAAAGGAGGGCTATATTCTTAGAACTAGGCTTTTTGAAGCCCTGATCGAAATCTGATAGGTGTATCTAAAGTTAGAAGCAAAAGAATTCAGCTTCCGGAAGGGGTCAGCTATGCTAAAGCCATTTTGCATGCTTTCCACTGCATACAATAGTAGAATGAGAACAGAGTGTTAATTGCTTAAATGAACTACACATCTGCATTCCCCGAGGTGGGTTTGTATTGTTTCCTCTTTCTCCTTATGCCTTGTCACAAAGGGAAACGTTTACTGATAAGCAGGCAGCAAAGAAAGGTCAGGTTGCCTTTTTTGGGACTCTGCTGTGGTTGTCTCTATTGTTTTAATTGTCATTTGTAAGTCCTACCTCTTACCTATATTCTGACAAGCTTCTCCCTCACTCTTAAGAGGGTTCCCAAGGTACAGTGAGCTTATGTGTGATTATTTTTCTCAAGCAGATAAACAGACCTTCACAGTAAGGCATTTAAAATTAATCATTATATTTATATCTGGATGTATTTTTTAGAACTATGTATAAAAGCCCTAAACCAGACCAAAAAAAAAAAAAAAAAAAAAAAAAAAAAAAAAAAAAAAAGTACTAGAGATATTACCATAATTGGTGTCCTTGTGATGAGTAAATAACTTCCCAAGGATTCAGAAAGAGAAAGCTAGCACATAATTCCCTGGGCTTCAGGGTTTCTATCTTTTTTCAACAGAAGAAGGAGAAAGTGTATTAAAATAAATACTTTTATTTATAATTTATTTTATTTTATTGGTATAGTGATCAAATATTACAGTATAGTGTGATTCAAAACCATGATAAAATATCATCTCACACCTGTTAGAATGGCTATTATCAAAAAGACAAAAGATAACAAGTGCTGGCAAGGGTGTGGAGGAAGAGGGACTCCCATGCACTGTTGCTGGGAATGCAAACTGATGCAGCCACCATGGGAAACAGTATGGGGCTCCTCAAAAAATTAAAAATAGAACTACCATATGATCTAGCCATTCCATTTCTGGGTACTTATCCAAAGGAAAGGAAGTTACTCAAAATGTTATATGCACCCCATGTTCCTTGCAGCATTATTTACAATAGCCAAGACATGGAAACAAACTAAGGGTCCATTGATCGATGAATGCATAAAGAAAATGAGGTGTATTTATACACAATGGAATATTACTCAGCCATAAGAAGAAGGAAATCCTGCTGTTCGCAACACCATGGATGGAATTTGAGGGCATTATGCTACGTGAAATAAGTGAAACAGATAAATATGTGGTCTCACTAATATGTGGAATCTAAAAAGAAGAAAAACAAACTTACACAGAGAACAGATTGATTGTTGCCAGAGGAATGGGTGAGGGCGGTCAAATGGTACAAACTTCCAGTTATAAAATAAACAAGTCCTGGGGCTCCTGGGTGGCTCAGTCGGTTAAACCTCGGACTCTTGGTCTTGACTCATATCATGATCTGGCGGTTTGTGAGTTCGAGACCCGCATCAGGCTCTGCGCTGACCATGCAGAGCCTGTTTGGGATTCTCTCTGTCTGCCCCTCTTCTGTTCTTGCTCTCTCTCTCTCTCTCTCTCTCTCTCTCTCTCTCTCTAAATAAAGCTTTAAAAATAAAATAAATAAGTCCTGGGGGTGTAATATACAGCATGGTCACTATAGATAATCGTACTGTGTTGTGTATTTGAAAGTTGCTAAGAAAATAAATCTTAAAAGTTCTCATTACAAGAAAAGAATGTTGTAGCTATGTGAGGTGAGGGGTGTTAACTAGACTTATTGTGGTGATCACTGCACAAAACATATACATATATTGAATAATTATGTTAAAACCTGAAACTAATATAATTTTATATGTCAGTTATATCTCAGTAACAGGAAAGAGAATGTGTATTAAGGTAGGTGGTCACTACTGTCAGATATTACAGTACGTGTGATTTCTATACCCGAATTCATTCACCCAGACAGGATTATCTTGGGTAGGGAGAGAATTGTGTGACAGGGAATTGAAAGGTCCCAGTCCTCAACCAGGGACCTCTTCTCTTACATCCTGTTCATCTAAGAGGTTCTTTTCTTGGTTTTGACCTACTCCCTCTTTTTGGGGGGGGAACATAAGTTCATTTTCTCTTTTATGAGCTACCTGAAAGCAAAAGTAAGCATCTGGCCACCTGTCATCTCAACAAGAAGCATGTCATTGCCTTTAACTGAGAGGGTATTCGTTAGGGCCAGACTACCTGGTGGCTCATCTGGGTCTCACCCCATGCTGCCTTTTCTTTTTCTGCTGCACACGTGTTCTAGGACTGACATCTGACCTCTGAGTGCTGCCGGCAAAGGGAATTGGAGGCTCACACTTCGCTGGGTTAGGGGCCTGGCCATGGTCCCTCCAGTTTCTTTGTGATACCCAAGTTCATGATCTCTGAATAACTGGATTAGGATGGTCCCCGGCTCCCCATTCGCTGGCTTTTCTAGACCACCGAAGCAGTCTCCTCTCCAGTGCTTAGTGAGCACAGGATGGATGGAGAAGTTCATTACATGGTCCCTCTTTTCCCTTTCCGTGGGGTCAGTCACCCAAGTCAACCGCAACCCAGAAGCGGATGATCCTCCTTCTAATATAGTGTCAGAAGGTCAATAGTGGCCTCAGGCTCTGTCACTTACCTTACTTTGTCTCATCACATAGGCATTTTATGATCTCACATCATCACAGGAAGGGTGAGTAAAGGACAATACAATATTTTGAGAGACAGACTACTTCACATGACTTTTATTACCGTGTATTATTATAATTGTTCTATTTTATTGCTAGTTATTGGTACTGATCTCTTACTGCGACTAATTTATAAATTAAGCTTTATCATAGGTATGTATGTATAGGAAAAAAAGTAGTATATGTAGGGTTCAGTACTGTCCATGGTTTCAGGCACCCACTGGGGATCTTGGAACGTATCCCCGTAGGTAAGAAGGGACCACCATATTGGCAGGTTTTTAGGCAGACAGCAAGTCCAGAATTGGCTGCTGTGCTTGCTGCCTTGGTGGGCAATAGCAGTCAGCTGATAAGAACAGATGTCTAAGGAGGACAGCACATTACTACCTTCCAGAGATTTTGAGTCCTTTCTTCTGCTTACAGAGAGGGCAGAGCATGGGAGGAACCATATTGTACTGTGGCTGATGGGTGCTGGCATCTAATGCCTGAGTTGGAATCCTGATTCTGCTAATTAGGTTGAGACCTTGAACAAAACTATTTAACTTTTCTTTTCTTTTTTTTTTTTTTTAATTTTTTTTTTCAACGTTTATTTATTTTTGGGACAGAGAGAGACAGAGCATGAACGGGGGAGGGGCAGAGAGAGAGGGAGACACAGAATCGGAAACAGGCTCCAGGCTCTGAGCCATCAGCCCAGAGCCTGATGCGGGGCTCGAACTCACGGACCACGAGATCGTGACCTGGCTGAAGTCGGACGCTTAACCGACTGCGCCACCCAGGCGCCCCTAACTTTTCTTTCTTTTAAACATTTTTTAAAGTTTATTTTTGAAAGAAAGAGAGAGTGCACAGGAGGGGAAGGGCAGAGAGAGACAGAGACAGAGACAGGATCCCAAGCAGGCTCTGTGCTGTTAGCATGGAGCCCAGTGCGGGGCCAGATCTCATTAACTGTGCAGTCATGACCTGAGGCAAAATCAAGAGTCAGATGCTTAACCCACTGAGCCACCCAGGCATCCCGAAGCTATTTAACTCTTCTAAACTCATGTTTTCCCCCGAATAAAATAGGGACAACGAAGAGCCTAATAAAATAGGGACAATAAAGAGCCTAACTAAACAGTACTCGTGATGATTAAATGACATAATATATTTGAAGTCTCTGGCATAGTACCTAGCACATGCAGCATATGTGGAACATTTCTCTAATATTACTACTGAGGGAAAAAGGCAGTGAATGTGTACACGCAGCCTGGATATTGATCAGAAAATAAGTGAAGCTTGGGTGAGTGGTTGTGTGCAGTATGTTGTGTGGGGTTAGCTCTTGAAACGTGGCTATCAGACTGCTAGAGGCAGATTTTTCTCTTAACTTTGACCTGTTGAATACGTATCAGGATTCCAAAGAAAGAAATGTGAGAACTAGAAAACCTTTTCTTTTTTTTTAATTTGTTTATTTTTGAGAGAGAAAGAGCATTTGCAAGTGGGGGAGGGGCAGAGGAAGGGGGACAGAGGATCCAAAGTGGGCTCTGTACTGAGAGCACTATGCGGGGTTCGAACTCATGAGCCATGAGATCATGACCTGAGTCGAAGTCGGTCGCTCAACCAACTGAGCCACTCAGGGCCCTGAAAACTTTCTCTTTATAGAAAAATAGCATCCCACTCCTTATCCCCACTGTTGGCATCTGGCTTCCCTTCACCCTATGCTGTTTCTTCTTTCTGTGGTTCTGTAAGTTAGGCTTAGGGTTTTTCACGTTTGCTAATACTTTGTCTGTATTCAGCCAGAGTATAAACTGTGAGGCAGGGATCTTTGCCACATGTGCTCAGTGATGGTCATAGATGAGGCAATCAGTAAATATCTGCTGAATGAATGATCAAGGGACCAGAAGGGTTTGCACCTTGACCTTGTGTCTGTCTTACAGTGTTGAAGAGACCCGTAACTTCAGAGGAACTCCTGACTCCCGGGGCTCCATATGCAAGGAAGACATTCACGGTAGGCTCATCATCTGGGTTTTTTCTCCTGCTCGTGCCATGTCAGCATGTCAGTGTCTGAATGTGTAGCTGAGGGACAGAATTGAAAACCTTCTAATTTTCCTTTTGTTTTGGGGCATAATTATAACAATGGATTTTCTTGACCCTTAGGCACTAAAATGCATTAGGACCTGACATGAGTTATGATTCATACAGCATTTTAAACTCCTTTTGCTGAGGCCTAAAGAAAAAATTTCCATTACTTAGTCTAATATAATTACAGACTTTAAGGCGAGTGGTGGTGCAAATCATGCCAATAATCCCTTCTGTGTTGCAGTTAATCCTAACAATCATTTAAGATATTAGAGGAGTCTTCAGGGGAAAAAAGAAAACCATGAGACAGTTTGTTCTGCCATAAGGAATGTTGCTTCTGACGATGCTAAGCATGTCTTGAGTTCTATAAACAAGCACAGGATTTTAGAGCACTGTGTACCTGTGAGCTCCTCTTGGCCACCTGCTGCTTCTCGGAGGTTCTCCAGCCTTCTTTCTACAACTACCTGCCCCAGTGGCTTCCTTCAAATGGAATCGGAGTGCTCTGCTTGACAGCATCTTGCCCTCTCTCCTTCCTCAGCCTCTTTCTCTCAGTCTCTCCCCGAAACCACATCAACATCCTCTTTAAAACACTTCTCCTTTTCCTCCAGCTTTCTAACTTTTGTTTTATTTCCCCAGGGACCAAAAAAACCAAACCAAAACAAACAAACAAACAAAAAAAAAACCTTCCCACACCCATTCGGGCTGCAAACATTCGTCGTGGGCACTGAGGAGTTTAGATAGGATGGGCCCAGTCATAGCCAGCGAGTATGAAGAAAGCACCAGAAATATGTCTGTATCAGGGGAAACGATAAACGATACCTTTGGAAGTGAAATTAGGTATAATGAACGAATAGCAGTAAACCCTCAAGCCGGTGAAGGGGTTAAACATCTTTTTTGAGATTGTTTACAAAAATTGCATTTGCTGGGGTGCCTGGGTGGCTCAGTCGGTTAAGCAGCCAGCTCTTGATTTCGGCTCAGGTCATGATCTCACAGTTCGTGAGATCGAGCCCCTCATCGGGAGCCTGCTTGGGATTCTCTGTCTCCTTCTCTCTCTGTCCCTCCCCCACTCGTGCTCTCCCCATGTCTGTCTCTCTCTCAAAATAAATAAACATTTTTTAAAAATTGCAATTTCTTCCCTGCCTTGCCCTCAGTCTCCAGCAATTGAGAAACAGTTGATTATAGTTTTAAGTATTTTGGGGGGGGGAGGGTCTTAAATTTAAATGCCAGCATTGCTAGTGATTGTGAATGTGTGTCATCTGTATTTCAGTTGGGGTGTATATTAAAGACACGTCTGAGAGCTGCACAGGGAATGTAACTGCCAATTCTAATGATTCTCTAGGGAAAGGCACCCTCCAGTTTCAAACAGCTTTTGGACTAGTACCTACTTGTAAATTGTGGACTTGATGTACTTTACTCACTTTCTTTTCTTGGTAGAGGTTGTGTTTCAAGAAAGCCCAAACTTTTCCCATTTCCCACTGTTAAGTAATATAAATTGTTTCTTTGGACCCGAAGGATGTAGCAAGAACATCAAGAAAGTATCTTTTGGACCCTGGGGAAAAGAATAAACTTGGAACAGAAATTGGGTCTGGAGAGAAATTTCAACCATATTTTCATAGTCTTCTAAATTTTCCATTTGAGCCTGATATTAAATTGCATAGCAGCCTAAGAAGAAGGCAGTCTGCCAGTTATTTACTGAGTAGTGCCCTCGCAGAGAAAGCTTCTTTCTGCCTAACAGGTGTCCCCTGACCACCTTTTCTGCACAGATACGCCTGTGTTTGTGATAGAAACAAAGTGTTCTGTTCTCCTGACAAGCTACAGATGGAGTTAAGGAGAAGAGATATGCCAGCGCATATACTTAACCCTGGGCTGGTTTTCCTTCTCTTGGAAGGACAGGCAAATTGCCAGGGACCGTCTTCTAGATTGCTAATTGTGGTTTTCCTCTCCAGATTGTTGGTGACGCCGTTGGTTGGGGCTTTGTGGTGCGAGGAAGTAAGCCATGCCACATTCAGGCCGTGGACCCCAGCGGCCCTGCGGCAGCGGCGGGAATGAAGGTACCAACAATCCAGCAATGTCTAAGTACCTCTAGCCTCGTTTTCTTGCTCTCTTGATCTCCCTGAGTGTTTTGGTCTCATTTTGGACCAGTTTCCTTTTCCCTTTCTGGAGAGGGTTGAAATGAAGCCAAGAGTGTGTCATGTAGCAACTAGGAGGAAAAGGTTTCCTATTGCTCTGATGGTACATCATTGGTCTCCAACCCTTCCTTGGTTTTTCACATCTCTCCCCTTAACCAATACTGACTTTGAACATAAAATAGTTGCTTTTTGCTGAAGTCTTATATAATAACTCTACTGCTTCGATTATATACAAAGTGTATTCCTGGAGGATTTATACAGCCAGTGGAACATGCTTAGACCATATGAGATGGCAAATAGTGAGAAAAAGAAGGCAGAGGTGATAGAATTTGGAAGAGGAGATCTGGATTCCCATTTTGGTTCTGCTAATTTCTAGCTCTTTGACTTTGCACGAGTTCTGGAACTATCTCAGAGCCTGTTTCCTCCTCTCTGAAACAATAATCATATTTCCTTCTGCTGTTTTGTGGATTAAATATGTGGAAACACTTTATAATGCACAAAGCAAGACACAAACATCAGAAAAGTTGAATGAATTGTGAGAGATTTTTGAAAATAACTTTTAGATATTTTTTGGTGCTAAAATAATGCATATAGAGTTGAGATTTAGAAAATACAGACCAGCAGAAAAAAAATTATAATTGCTTATAATCTTTCATAAGTAAGAGATAACCACTATTAACATTAAGCAGCTTTACTGAGTATAATTGACATGTGTATCTCTGTTGACACTTTGATTTATATTCTTCCAGACTACTTATACATACATATACATACGTACATGTATAAATATATATGTATTTATATCTATGCATTGGTTTCTTAAGCTTTTTTAATTGAAACGTAATTAACATATAAATGTACACAATAAGTGTACACGTAGTGATTTGACAATCCTATAGATTACTCAGTGCTCACCAGCGTAAGTGTAGTCACCATCTGTCACGTCGTTTTTATTTAGGCAAAAATATGATATGCTATGAGAGGATGTTGAGAGCATTGGTTTTCTGCTTCAAAAGACCTCTACCTACCCCAGTTTTGTTGTGTCATCTGTAAAACAGTTCACAGAGTATGCTTAATGTCTTAATTATCTGGGCCCTTGGGAGGACGCACAAGGCTAGAAAGCAACGGATCATTCCTCTGCTCATGTCTTCTACACCCTCCACCTCTCCCATCAGTCCTTTTCCTGGAGCAGTAAACCAGTAAAGCAATAGGCATGACTTGGCTCTGCACAGCTCTGATTTCTAGCACTTACCCTCTGGCACCGGATTACCCAGTGGCAGAGAAAGGGGGGCGGCAGAGACCAGCTCAAGAGTGCACAGAGCACAGATTACAGCCAGTCTGGGTAATCAGTGCTGTGTGATGAGGGGTTCACTCTGCCCCCTGATTTGAACACGTCATTCATGCAGTGAGCCAGAGGCTCACTGGGTCCTGTGCTCTGGACCAGCTGCAGAAGCCTTGTTGGCCCTGTGTGTCTGTGTGACAGGCCCTTCCTTCCTACCTCCTTGGTCTGCAGTGGGCACAGCACCAAAGATACTCAGAGCAGGAAAGTTGGCCGGGAGCATAAAGGGCGGGCATTTGTATCTGTGCCGAGGCTGAATTTATCATTTTCTAATGGAACTCTTGGCCAGGGGAAGAGTTTTATGCTTTATTTCCATAGTAAAGCACCTAGTATAAATTATTTTTGGCAGACTCTGCTTTACTGCTGAGCATATCCACTCACTCTCATGGGTCTCTGACTTAAAGCATGTTTGCTTTCGGGAAAGCAGTGGATTTCTACTGCAGCTGAAGACCTTGTTTTGTTTGGCCATGTCCCTGACTTTAGCCCATCTTTATTGATCAATATGAATAACTTGTAGGCATTGTCAGTCAGTCGGTCACTTAACTCCTTAATGTATTTACTCTGAGAGGTGGGTAACCTGGTATAATTTTTTCAATTTCTCAAGCCAGTACTTCACAAGGTTTATATTCTTAGTTTCTCAGGGGGTACAGTGGTCTCCATATGTTTTAGAGAAGTACGGAATTTCTTTTTTTTTTTTTTAATCGTTTTATTTATTTTTGAGACAGGGAGAGACAGAGCATGAACAGGGGAAGGTCAGAGAGAGAGAGGGAGACACAGAATCTGAAACAGGCTCCAGGCTCTGAGCTGTCAGCACAGAGCCCGACGCGGGGCTCTAACTCACGGACCGCGAGATCATGACCTGAGCCGAAGTCGGCCGCTCAACTGACTGAGCCACCCAGGCGCCCCGAGAAGTACAGAATTTCTTAGAGCAGCGTTTCCTAAAGTTGTATTTTACAGTTCTCTGGTCCAGCAAAATACCCTGACCTGCGTTTCTGTGATCAAAACAGTTTTTAACTACTGTTAAAAACTTTACCCCCTCTTTGAAAATTCACAAAGCACATTAGCATGTTGAAAATTCTGGTAAGGGCAGCAAGCAAAAAAAGAAAAATGTGTTTAAATTGTCTACCATAACATTTAATCACTTAATAGAAACACTCAAATGGAATCTTAGGATTGTTAAGATTACTGCATCAAGACTGTTCCGAGAAGCTCCTATTGGCCAAAGTCTTATATTGGGTTGAATGTATAGAGCTAGATTTTTGAACTGTACTGCGGGTTGAATGAAAGTGACAGAGAATACCATGCTCTTCCCTATAATTTAACTGTGTAATATATTCATTTAAATTACTTAGTACATTATTTTCTCCTAGAAAACACTAAATTGTTTCCTAGTTTACCATATCGATTTGCCATGGAATAACTCCACTTATGTAAAACTCCATTTGTATAATCCAGTCCTAGAGGCTTCTTTCCACGGACCTGTCACATTGCTGTTGCCCTTTGCACCTGTCCAGGAGAACTGCAGGGTGGTGTGTGTGTGTGTGTGTGTGTGTGTGTGGCCGTGCAGCACTCTGGGAGGGTGGGAGCAGGGAAACCACCCCACGGGAGGGGCTTGCCCGCTGACCTGGGCAATGATTGACCTGCTTGGTCAGGCTGGGAGAAATGATCCAAAATTCTGGCCAGAATCCTTCTTGTAGCACCTGTGACTGGCAGGAGCCACCCCAGCAAAGTGTCAAGTGCCTCACTTTGTCTTCAATGCCGTTCTCTCTGTGGAATGCCGGGCTCACCCCTCAGGTCACCGTCCTGGTTTTCTCCTGCTTTCTGATGTGGACAAAGCCTTGTGCCTGAGCCTTTGTGACTGTGGCTGCGGAATGTCACTACTTTACTTGCCAAAACAGAGATCATTTTGTGGCTAAGTTTCTCATGTGTACCGTGTGTCTCTCTTATTTCGCCTTTTTACGGGGATTGGAAAGTTTTAAGATGTGGGCCACCAGCCTGTGGACAGGACAGACCCCCAGACCAAAGAGACTCAGGACCATTTTCCCCTATGAACATTTCTAGACTTTCCCAGTCCCAAAGGAGAGCTCCTTGCCCCGTTTAAATAGAATCCTTAATCCATAATGAGAGGAGACCCTCACTTGTATTAAAATTTACTTCTGGAAGAATTTCAGAGACCATGTGTCCTCTGGGGGTGTGATAAGGTCTGCCTTCACACCCTTTTCTAGACTGGAGTAGAGTAACCTAGGATCTTTGTGCCTGGGCCACCTAGCCCGCTGGCCCCACGTGTCTTCACCCTGTCCCTCTGCACTGCTGACTGAGGCAGGTGGGGCTGGATGAGGCGGCTAGGCTGCGGGGTGGGACTGCTGAGATGCAGGGCAGGGGATCTAAAAATATGTAGAACAGGGAGGGTTCCACTCTGACCTCAGTTGTAAATGGAATTGAGTTTTAGATGTTTTGGTCAGTTATTAGACTTTTATATGATCTCAAGCTTGTTTGAAAAGTTTGTCTTGGGCGCCTGGGTGGTTGAGTCGTTAAGCATCTGAATTCGGCTCGGGTCATGATTTCACAGTTCGTGAGTTCGAGTCCCACATCGGGTGAGCTCCAGCCCTGCTTTGGATGAGCTTGAGCCCCTAGTGAGCCCCACTTCTCTCTCTTTCTGTCTGTCCCTCGCTCACTTGTGCCCTCTCTCTCTAAAACAGACAAACAAAAAACAAAAAAAAAAAACAGTTTGTCTTTACTCCAGTACGTTCCTCGCCTTCCCTTCTGATTACCTGCTCTCCCTGCAGTGGGAACATGCTTATTCTTGGAGACTTAAACAAACAGGGATGTTACAAGAGACACCAAACTATGACTTTATTTCTACTTTTGTCTGAATCCAGACCCTTATAAACAGAGAACAATGAGTCACATCTTTTCTAATCAGGTTGCTGCACTGTTTCATAACCACACTCCTTGCTTCTGTGCCTACAAAACAACAGCTGTGGTGTCATCAGAATCCTCACCTGTCATGACATCTTTGGATCTGGAGCTGTTTTTCTTTAGATGGTTCTTTTGCTTAGAAGATTAAATCTGTAAACCTCCAGCTCAGGGGACCTTTCATCGCACATTACAACCCTAGAAAGGAGCACGAAATACAGCAGCCCTCAAAGTTCAGTCATTGAATGCATTTTCGATTAGGGGAGGTTGTTTGCTGTACTCTCTCTTTGGCAACTCTTCACTCATCCATTAGGCATTCCATAGCAGTAGACTGTGGTTCATTTCAAGGCAAAGGGGGAAGGAGGAAAGAAGAGAAGGAACCAGAGTTTATTGTCTTCTGTGTGCCTGACCTTGCACCATGCTAGGCCCTTTCTGTGCATAAGGCCATTTAATATCAGCATCTGAACACTAAAATCCTGGAGGAAGGGACTGCTCCAGGAGGAATAATTCTATTTCTTACCTCTTTTCTTCTACTTTGAAAAGAAATAGTTTCTTCTGCAGGACCACAGGCTACAGTCTAATGACTGTCACTTAGTTTTTTTTTCTAATGTGTATTTATTTTTGAGAGAGAGAGAGAGAAAGAGAGAGCTCGAGTAGGGGAGGGGCA